CCATCATTGTTGTTTGGCGGGCCCGGGCTGGGGATTCGAACCCGCCACCTTAGGTGTATGTGGCTGGCGCCTTAGCCGCTTGAGCCACAGGCGCCGAGCCGCCCTGTGGACTCTTATGGCCCATCCTGGTGTGTCTTGTGTGCTTTCTGCTTCTGCCTTAAATTTTCCTCCTCATTCTTCTATTGCTGGTTATCCAGGGCCCCTTTGGGACCAGTGGGCATTGCCCAGTGACACAGTGTGACCTTCTCAGGGAGGGTATCTCTTTCACAGGCAGTGGGGCAGGAACTGGGTGTTGCTGGCTTCAGCCCCTATCACCTCTTTCTCTCAGAGCTCAGTGTGCCACTTGCTGTGCCTTACCTGGATGAGCCCCCCACTCCACTCCACTTCCACCGGGACTGGGTCTGTCCCAACAAGCCCTGCATCATCCGCAACGCCATGCAGCACTGGCCAGCCCTTCAAAAGTGGTCCCTCCCCTACCTCAGGTGGGAGCTGCCCTGGGGTGGAGCATGGGCAGTGATTACTGGCATCTGGGTATGAGCTGAGTGTTCATTCTTCCTCAGAGCCACAGTAGGCTCCACAGAAGTGAGCGTGGCCGTAACCCCAGATGGTTATGCAGATGCTGTGCGAGGGGACCGCTTTGTGATGCCTGCTGAGCGTTGCCTGCCCCTGAGCTATGTGCTGGACGTGCTGGAGGGCCAGGCCCAGCACCCAGGAGTCCTCTATGTTCAGAAGCAGTGCTCCAACTTGCCCACTGAGCTGCCCCAGCTGCTGCCTGACCTGGAGCCCCATGTGCCCTGGGCCTCTGAGGCACTTGGTAAGTGGAGGCAGGTGGACCCAGGCCCAGGGAGGCAGGGGAGATGTGGGAAGGAAGGGGCCAACCTGCCTGCTCATTCTTTCGCTTTAGTGATGACTTGGTCCACTGTGCTGCTTACTAAATGCTCAAGCTCCAGGCCATGACTTAATAATAGAGGAACTACTTAATAATAGAGGAAAAAAGTAAGGGCTACTGAAGATTCCTGCCCTCCTTCTGTCCCACGGGATGGAGGGCTCCTTCCCCAAGCTTTCCCAGCCTCTGCTGCTTCTCCCTGATTCTCTTTGAGGAGGTAGGACTCTTTTGCCTCAAGTTTTGGCTCCAGCATCTCTGTGGTGCCTGTCCCCACCTGACCTAACATACCCTCTGTCCCACAGGAAAGATGCCTGATGCTGTGAACTTCTGGTTGGGAGAGGCGGCTGCAGTGACATCTTGTAGGTGTCAGGGGAATACAAAAGTGGGGAAGGAGCAGGTTGGGGCAGAGGGAGTGGAAGGGCCTGGATTAAAGTTGGGCTGACTCTTCTCTGTGGTCTCATTTGAGCTTCTGGGACTCCAGCACCACAGGGGATCTTCCCTGACAATTGAGGTTGGGAGGCGTCCATGACATGGGGTGAGGGTGCATTGTTTCTTTTAGATCCCAAGAGGGCCTATGAAAATAAACTGGGTTGGGGCTCAGCGCCTGTGGCTCAAGTGGCTAAGGCGCCAGCCACATACACCTAAGGTGGCGGGTTCGAATCCAGCCCGGGCTGCCAAACAACAATGATGGCTGCAACCAAAAAAAAAAAAAAATAGCTGGGCACTGTGGCAGGCACCTGTGGTCCCAGCTACTTGGGAGGCGGAGGCAGGAGACTCTCTTAAGCCCAGGAGTTGGAGGTTGCTGTGAGCTGTGATGCCACAGCACTCTACCCAGGGCGATAGCTTGAGGCTCTGTCTCAAAACAAAAAGAAAAGAAAAGAAACTGGGTTGGAAATGAACTCAGGAGAAGCCTGTTGGCTCCATCTGCCCTCTTGGCAGAGGTGAGCCCAGGGCCTGGTGGGCAGAGTTCTGAAACCTGCACAGCAGTCCTTGGCATCTCCTTGAGGCTGCTGACTCTGTGTGCTCTTTTTTTTTGGCCAGGGCTGGGTTTGAACCCACCACCTCCGGTATATGGGGCCAGCACCCTACTTCTTGAGCCACAGGCACCACCCTATGTGCTCTTCTTTGTCACCATAGGCCGTCTTAGGGGGTGGGGCTGTGAGTACAATGGTTCTCCCCCATCTATTCCTCCCCCCTCATCTCCTGTTCATACCCTGCCCCGGGCCTTCTGTTGGCAGTGCACAAGGACCACTATGAAAACCTCTACTGCGTGGTCTCAGGAGAGAAACACTTCTTGTTACATCCACCCAGCGACCGGCCCTTCATCCCCTATGGTAGGGCTGAGGAACAGGTGGCCCAAGGTGAAGGGAGGGCAGTGAGAGCCCTGGGCAAGCTGGTGTCCCACTGTGAGGTGTGGCCTCCTTGTCTCTACTGCACAGGGGTCCCTGACCCTCTTGTCTCTGTGCCAGGGGAGCACAGGGGCTGGCTGGATTAGGGAAGGGTCTGGCAAACTCCAGGCCATTTGAGATGTCCCACACCCTTCTCCTCTGGGCTTCAGAGCTATACACACCGGCAACTTACCAGCTAACTGAAGAGGGAACCTTTAAGATGGTGGATGAAGAGGCCATGGAGAAGGTGTCTATTCTGTTCTTGGGCTCTAGGGAGGGGGAAGCGTGAGAGCCTGGGCTTTGAGGAGCTGGCATAAAAGATCTGGAGAGGTGGCACCTTGCTATGAAAAGGCCCTAAGTCTAGCGCCGTTCAGTGCCGAGCAGAGCAAGCCCTATGGTGTTTACCTTTGGAAGGGATAGAGTTTGAAAGCCTGGGGGTCTTGGGACCTGTTCCCTGGCATCCATTGTGTCCCCAGGTGCCCTGGATCCCACTTGACCCCTTGGCTCCAGACCTGGCCCGGTACCCTAGTTACAGACAGGCCCAGGCCCTTCACTGTACAGTGAGGGCTGGCGAGATGCTCTACCTGCCAGCCCTGTGGTTCCACCATGTCCAGCAATCCCATGGCTGCATTGCTGGTAAGGAGCTGCCCAGGACACGCTGCCAATGCCCGATACGGTATTGTGGGAGAGGTTCAAGGGGCACTGGGTCAGAAGATGGACCTTTGTGCTCAGGTCCCCATTCTCTCCACAGTGAATTTCTGGTACGACATGGAGTATGATCTCAAGTACAGTTACTTCCAGCTGCTTGACTCCCTTGCTAAGGCTTCAGGCCTGAACTGATGGAGCCCTAGTGAACACTGCCGGGCAGAACTCCCTAGCCACGCTGACTCTGGAGACAGCCTGGAGTTTGAGGGCTTGTTGGCTGCTGGCCCCAGGTCTGACTTGGGTTGGGATCCTCCTGGAGGATCTTAGGAAGACTCAGAGGTGCCAGGCAGGTCTTGGTGAGGGCTCCAAGAAATTGCCACACAGGTGAAGAGGAGTGGGAATCAGGTACAGCAGTGCCTCTCACTAGCACCGTGACGATGGTCAAGTCACCGCCTATCAGAGCTTTGGTGTCTGTCTGTAAAACAGAAGTGATGATGATTCTACCTCATGAGGCTATTGTGGGGTTGGAGAGGCTACCTGTAAGGACCAGACCCAGAGGAAGTGTTCAATAAAAGGTGGCTGTGAGTCATGCATTCTGATTCTCTCACTGTTGCCTCCTGTCGTCTGTTGAGGCCCTGAAATTGAGGTAAAAATTTCACAGTGACCTTGATTGGGGATGGGGCCAGATCTAAGCCTAGACAGGAGGAGCAGTCCATTGCCCATATCCCTCTGTCCAGTCTTGTAAGTCTATGAGGCCTTTTTGGCTCAGGGCTGCTAGAGGTATTCCTAGCTTTGCCCTGGCCTGGCTTACTGTTTTCTCCCAGTTCCAGAGCTGCTGGTGACATCTAGTACCCTGGGGGCAACCCCTATTTCTCTCTCGCACATCAGGCACAGGCAGGAAGGGATAGAAAGCCCTGTCCCTCTTGGAGCTGTCCCTGTGAGGAAGGTGTTGGTCTCCACACGCTGACCTCCCCTCCCCCACAAACTAGGCCCTGGGACTCACCCCTGCACCTGAGTGCAAGCCCCAGGCCTCATCCCCAGCCACCTGGCACCAGCTCTGAGAATGGAGGGGACCTAGCACATGGCTTTGAAGGGTTTTTTGGACATCCTTGTTCCTGCCAGGTTGTGATGGGCCAGGTGCTCTTTTCAGACTGGCTGCGTGCTTTAGTCAGGTCCAGGCATTCCTGTTGGGCTGGTGCCTGGGCTTGCGAAAGGCCTGCGGCAGGGCACTCAGCCTGTCTCTTTGCTGTTGCTCTGGGGCCCACACCCAGCTTTCCTTCTTATCCCCCAGCAGCAAGCTCTCCTGGAAGCCCCCTCTTCTAAATCAGGGCTGGCAGCACGAGGCTGGATAAGGCAGGCCTGGATGGCGAGATGGCTGGAGAGTGTGGGTCTTCTAGGGCACTGGGGCTAGATGTCGAGCCCCACTATGATGGTGCTTGTGGCTCTGGTATAGGTTTGAGGTGCCTCATTTCCTGGACAGGTGGCTGGTCCAGTAGTGGGTGTGGGGCTTGGGTGGAGTGGAGGAGGCAGGTGGGAGGGACCCAGGAGGAGCTCTGAGCCACCTGTGACACCACTGGCTCTAGATTAAAACGCTGACAGTCCTTGGTCCTGCACCATTACTCCTGCTCCTGAGGACTCAGCCTCATGGCTCTGGTAAGGCCCAGCAGGGCATCATCGGGTACCACTGTGACCTTTGGTCTCTACCTGGGGCCTGGTTAATGCTGTTCCTTAGAGGAGCTATGGCAACTGCCTGTGTAGAAGCAGGTGTTAGCTGACTATAGGACCCGGACAGTGAGCAAAAGCTGTGGAGAGGAGGGTCCTGGGATAAGGGTCCTGAGTTCTTTCTGCCTTGGGAAATGGGCTCCAGGCAGATCTCCATGGTACTGTGGGTTTGGGACCTGGGATCTCAGAGGCTTTTAGCTACCATCCTAGAGCCCCAGAAGGAAGTGGCTGCTCTGGTCAGCCATCTGACTCAGCCGTGTGGGGGCCCTGGGGCTGACAGGTGGATAATTTTCCCCAGCTTTGCCTCTGACCCAGACTTAATTGGGGCCCTTCTAGAGGCAGGGCTGAGTCCAAAAGGAAGGACCAGTTGGCACAGGCTTCCCTGGGCTGGGCACAACTGCCAGCCCACATTCCCAGAACCAGGGGAATGTAGATTTGGAAGGAGCTAGCTGGGGACCACCTTCACCCTGACCTGGGGGCAGGCTGAAGTTGCTACTGTCCCTGTCCAACAGAGCCATTGCCAGGATGCTCTGCCCAGGGGTGGAGAGGATGGGGAACAGCTCAGCTGGGGGCCAAGGCCCTGACATGCCACTTCTCTTCCCTAGACATTATATGTCCTCTGTCACCCAAGCCTGAGCTGCTTAGCAAGCATGTGGGGCTGGGGATGTGGGTAGAAAGGCTGAAGGATTCTATACCTAGGAAGCACAAATCTGTACATGGGAGGCACAAACCTGGAGCTATCCTGCCTGGGTTCCAATCCCACTTCTGGACCTCAGGCAAGTGGCTACGTAACCTCTCTTGTGCCTCAGTTTCCTGGTGGAGTTGGTAATCACAGTGATGGTAAATAGTGTGCACACATAGAGTTGCGTGATATATGAGTTAATATATGGAAAGCCTTGGCCCAGAGCCAGGCCCAGAGCATTGTGTCAGTGCTGGCAGGTGTCATCCTGGAGATGCCATGTCTCTTCCTGTCCATTCAGGGTGGAGGCAGGCCTGGTCCTGAATGGGCCTGACTCTTTTGCTTCAGGACTAGGCCTGGAGGGCTGGCCCAGCCTCCCATGCCCCTGCCACCTTTGGCCCCATCAGCCTGCAGCTGGTCTGCCCATCTCTTTTTGCAGGCAAAGGTGCCTGGGACCTGCCTGCTCACTGTTCGTGTCCTGCAGGCCCATGACTTGCCCTCCAAGGACCTAGGTGAGCTGCTGTTTCCCTGGCCCTGTGCCAGACTGAGGGAGGAGGGGGTCATTCCTGCTGGATTCACAGGGGTGGAAGCAGTGGGCAGGGTTTGGAGGAGGGTGCTGGGTAGGGGTTCTGGGTGGAAAGTGGCAGCTGGGGTTCTGCTTCTGATCCCCCTGCCTCCCCACTGAGTCTGTACCCCACAGCTCTCAAGTATTCTAAAGTATTTTAATGGCTTTTTCATACTCCTGCCATTTGGCCAAACAAAGTATGCTTAGAGCTATATCTAAGTAAAACGGGGGTCACTAAAACACAGGGCTATAGGGCGGCACCTGTGGTTCAGTGGGTAGGGCGCCAGCTCCCTATACCAAGGGTGGCAGGTTTGAACCTGGCCTGGCCAAATTGCAACAAAAAGATAGCTGGATATTATGGCGGGCGCCTGTAGTCCCAGCTACTCAGGAGGATGAGGCAGGAGAATTGTGTAAGCCCAGGAGTTGGAGGTTGCTGTGAGCTGTGGGATGCCACGGCACTCTGCCGAGGGCGATAAAGTAAGACTCTGTCTCTACAAAAAACAAACAAACACAGGGCTGTAAACACTCTCTGGATGGGAAGGGCAGCTTCTCAGAACCATTTGCCATGTGCGAGGTCCCAATCCTTCCTTTCCTTTAAACTATGGTATTTGATTCAGAACTTCCTGTCTCCCTGGGAATTTCTCTCTCCCTCTCTCCCTCTCTCTCTCTTTCTCTCTCTCTCTCTCTCTCTCCCTCTCTCTTTCTCTCTCTCTCACACACACACACATGCTCTTGGCACAAGAATCAGGTCAGAAGGGGTGAGAAGGAGTGTGTGTGTGTGCGGAGTATATGTGTGCGTGTCTTGACCAAAGATGACCCTGTGTTGTCAGTGCTGTTAGGGCTCCAGGCCATCACTGGGCACTTGTTCTTCCTTCCTGCAGTAACGCCCTCTGACTGCTACGTTACCGTGTGGCTGCCCACAGCCTCTAGCAACAGGCTCCAGACACGCACGGTTAAGAACAGCAGAAGCCCCGTCTGGAACCAGAGCTTTCACTTCCAAATCCATAGCCAGCTCAAGGTGGGGCAGGCGTCAGCCTGACCTGCTGCCCATTCCCACCCACCTACTGCCCTCCCAGGACTGAGGGACTGCTCACCTCCCCTTTTAGAACATTCCCTTTGCCTGTTCCCTTTCTAGAACATCGTGGAACTGAAAGTCTTTGACCAGGATCTACTGACCAAAGATGACCCCGTGTTGTCAGTGCTGTTTGACGTGGGGACTCTGCGGGTTGGGGAGTGCCGGCAGGAGAGCTTCTCACTGAGCCCTCAGGCAAGGCTATATGTCCCCATGGCTGGGGCCTCTGTAGGCCAGCTGGCATCGGGGTTGGAATCTACACATGCACACACATACTCTGCACATGCACACACACTCCTTCTCACCCCTTCTAACCTGCTTCTCTCTCCCCAGGGTAAGGAGCGGCTAGAAGTTGAATTTCGGCTGCGGAGTCTGTGAGTCAGGGGCCGTGGGGCGGTTCCGGGTGGGAGCAGCTCCTGGGAAGGATAGCACCAGCACATCCCAAGCTGGTGCCTTCCCGGTGGCAGAGAAATGCCCAGGCCTCTGTAGGGGGGTGAAACCTGAGAAGCTGTGTCTTTCTAGGACAGACCGTGCTGAGCAGCTCATCAGCAATGGCATCCTGGTGGTGAGTGTGGAACAGCACCCAGGGGTGGGCTAGGGTCCGCTGGGAACTCCTCCCTCATGCCATCCCCTCGCTCTTCACCCTAGCCCTGAAGCTCAGGCCCTCTATGACCTGGGTCAGGGCTAGAGCTGAGTTTGGGGGACCCTGGAATTTCAGTTCATCAAGGGAATCCATTGTGAAGCAGATGCATGGTGACTCAGGGCCACAGTCATAAAGGCTAACAAGTGGGAACCAGGTGCTGGGAGGTGAGGTCTCTGAACAGGGGAGGGTTAGTGTCTGAGGGGCTCTCTTAACCACGCAGGCCCGGGAACTCTCCTGCTTGCATGTTCAACTGGAGGAGACAGGGGATCTGAAGGGTGAGTCCCTGACCCACTGGGACAGCCCCCAGCCCTCGGTCCATCTTACCCCTCAGGACCCTGTCAGGGCCCTTGCACTAGCTACCGTTAGCTTCCAAAGGCAGGAGTGGCGGTTGGGCAGATCCATGCTGAGGCTCCCCAGGACCTGGTGGGAGTTCTGTGTCCCATCCTTAGCCAAACCTCTATTTCGGGAAGAGAGGGAAAAACCCTTCAAGCCCCTCAGGCAAGAAGAGGGACTTTGGTCACAGATCCCATTCCCAGCCTCTCTGCTGTGGCTCATTTCCAGGGTCAGAATGCAGAGTTCGGCTTGTGGTTCCTGGGTCCTTTGAGGGTTCACAGGAAGCCTCTGTGGGCACCAACACCTTCTGCTTCCATTGCCCAGCCTGCTGGGAGCAAGAGCTGAGTATCCATCTGCAGGTAGTGTCTCCCCTCACGCAGGCGGGAACCCCAGAACCCCTACCATCCTGCCATCAGCCCCTTCTCCCAGCCTGACTCTGCCCCGAGCCCCAGCTCTCCCACCACTCCATGCAGAGTGCACATGGTGATACTGGCCTCCCACTCTTCTGTGGCAGCTAGCAGGAGTTGGACAAGAAGGGTAAAGATCTTAGTTCTTCCTTCGTGTCTCCCTGCAGGATACCCCCCAGGAGCAACTGAAAGTGCCACTGAAGGTCCTGCCCTCTGGCCAGGTGGTGAGGCTCGTCTTTCCCATGTCCCAGGTACTGTTTCGTTGCTCAGAGTGGGAACCAGGTGCCCGGACTGGGCTGGGCCCCCGGCCTGCTTCTGTAGCTGCTTCTCTCCGTGGGTCATGCCCTGAACACATGGTGGGGCCAGGCTCCAGGAGGAGTGTCCTCTGAGCATCTCCTCACTCTGGCTTCAGGCCTGGCCCCTGTGGAGACTGTTGGGGGCCTATAGGTGCAAAGGGTCTTATAGGTGTGTGTCTGGGACCAGGATGGGGGGGAATGGAGCTGGGTGGAGATGGCCAACCTTTGTGACTGGGGCCTTTATGGTTTTCAGGAGCCTCTGATGAGAGTGGAGCTGAAAAAAGAAGAAGGGTGAGAGGCCTGGCCAGGGAAGGGGCAAGGCCTCAAGAAAGCAACCAGGGAGGAGGAGAAAGTGGTGTGGGGGTGGCCAGAGGTCAGGTGTCTGGCTAGAGAGGTGAGGGTGAGAAACAGGCAGTTCACAGGTCAGTTGCTCCTCACCCTCTGTGAAGGTGCTAGGGCTGGCTCCCAGGGCAGCTCACTTAGCATGGGAGTCTGAAGGGTGTGTGCCTAGCCCAGTGCCTGGCAGGTGGGAAGCACCTGATGAATGGTTAGCTGGAAAAACAGGTGGGGGGGTAGTACCATGAGGAAAGCACCACGGTTTGAGGCAGAGAGGATGAGGAAACCAAAAGGGAGAGTAGAAATCGTGTGCCCTTGGGTGGAAGCTGAGGTCACAAATGAGCTTCATTGAGGACTCACCTACCCCGTCCCTCCATGCCTAGTGAGAGTAGCGTCTTACCATGCAGAGATGGGATCACTGGTGCTTCTTTCTTGGTTCCCCATAGTCATTTTTGGACTCGGAAGGTAAGGGTGGGCAGTAGGATCCGTGGTGTCGGGTCTTGCCCAGGGGCCATCTGCACCTGGGACCCTGACATTCTCTGTCCTGAGAGTCTGCTTTGCTGCATTCTTGTGTGTCTACACATTGGTCTGGGGTCGCCTTCTGCTTCTCGAATTTTATATTCGTCAAACTTCAGAGTCACATGACACAGGGACTGGTGGTAATGGCTGGGGAGAGGAGAGAGGGCAATGGGTTTTGCAGGTGAGTCAGATGCAGCTTTGCCATCTCAGGGTGCTGAGAGCCGACTCACCGTCTCTGCCTTCCCCCAGACCACAGGAGCTGGCTGTGCGGCTGGGCTGTGGACCTTGTGCTGAGGAGCAGGCCTTCCTGAGCAGGAGGAAGCAAGTGGTGGCCGCAGCCCTAAAGGAGGCCCTGCAGCTGGACAGAGACCTGCAGGAGGATGAGGTCTGGGGGCTGGATGGGTGTGTTGTCCCTGGGCTTGCTCAGGCCTAGAGCCCAGTGCCGGTCACTGAAACTGGTTGCTCCAAAATCAGAGCCTGTCCCTACTCTGTGTCCCGCTTGCTTGATGTCAGCAGGGGCTTGATGCTGGCAGAGGATTGCACGAGGCACCAGGAACTTGCAGATATGAACTTCCCCACCGGGCATACTTTCCTTCTCGTGCATGGCCTAGGTTTTGAGACTAGGCCCAGTCTGATTAATTAGTAAGACAGATGTCTAGTATATAGACTTGCTGGCCTGGGGTGGTCCTAGGAGTTTAGGTCAGCCTATGTCATCCCCTGGAATGATAGGAGAAGAGGAGGTGGCTGTTTGGGAGTCTTCTGAGGTAGCCTTGGAGTTTGCAGAAAATGATCATCAGACCTGGGGGCCGGGGATGAGGAGATAAGGCCTGGACTTGCCTAAGTCGTTTCTCTTGGAGTTCTTAAAACTAGAGAAACCTGGCCTTCAGGAGGCTGCTTCTGCCTAGATCCTCAAGGTTCCAAGACCTCTGATCAGATTCTGATAGGCCTTAGCTATGGGGAGAGAGCAGTGGCACTTGACTTCCTGCTTCCTCCTCCTGTGGCTTGGCCTTCTCCTTCCCTAGGGCCTCTCTGAGCCTGGCTATCCTCTCTTTCAGATCCCAGTGGTAGCTGTTATGGCCACTGGTGGTGGGATCCGGGCAATGACTTCCTTGTATGGGCAGCTGGCTGGCCTGAAGGAGCTGGGCCTCTTGGATTGTGTCTCCTACATCACGGGGGCCTCGGGCTCTACCTGGTGAGCTAGAGGCAGGCTGGTTGCTGGAGCCTGCGGGGGCTGGTTGGGTGGTGGCAGGGGCTGCCAGTACTAAGGCTCTCCTAGGCCTCTGCTCAAATTACCAGGGGGAAATGTGCTCAAGGGGATTCCTGAAGGTCCCTACCAGGTTTTCCTAGAAGAGAAAGCCCAAAGCACGTGAGTTCTGGATGGGATCCTTAAGTGACGGCTTCCCTGGCTTTGGCTTTCCCCAGGGCCTTGGCCAACCTCTATGAGGATCCAGAGTGGTCTCAGAAGGACCTGGCAGGGCCCACTGAGTTGCTGAAGATCCAGGTGACCAAGAGCAAGCTTGGTGTGTTGGCCCCTAGCCAACTGTGGCGGTACCAGCAGGAGCTGGCTGAGCGTGCCCGCCTGGGTCACCCAGCCTGCTTCACCAACCTGTGGGCCCTCATCAATGAGGCACTGCTGCATGATGAGGTGTGGATGGCGCAGCCTTGGGGCAGATCCAGGGCAGGGATGGAGCTGGAGCAGGACTGGGTAGCTGGGGCAGGCAGGCTCTAGGCACCAGGAAGCTATGGGTTTAGGTCCCAATCGTCTTTTTCCTAGCCCCATGACTATAAACTCTCAGATCAGCGGGAGGCCTTGAGTCGAGGCCAGAACCCTCTGCCCATCTACTGTGCCCTCAACACCAAGGGGCAGAGCCTGACCACCTTTGCATTTGGGGGTGAGTAGCCTCAGAGCTGAACCCATGCTCTCATGGTTGGAGGTGGGTGGGCAAGGGGTAACCGGGCCTATGTGGAGGAGGTGGATTTTATACCCACTTCTCTGGACCAAGTTCTTTGCTTTCCAGAGACTGTCATCCTGCCAGTGTGCCCTCAGACCTTAGGTCACATGCTCAGAATCCCAGAGACAAGGCCTGAGCCTTTTGGTCCCTAGGCTTCCCTAAAGGAAAACGCCAGGTGGAAGTGCTGATGCCTGAGGGCTGCAGGCCCGGAGGCTGAGGTGTGTGTCTTCCTCACAGAGTGGGTTGAGTTCTCCCCCTATGAGGTTGGCTTCCCCAAGTACGGAGCCTTCATCCCCTCTGAACTCTTTGGTTCTGAGTTCTTCATGGGACGGCTGATGAAGAGGCTTCCTGAGTCCCGTATCTGCTTTTTGGAAGGTGAGGGCTGTTTAGAAGGCTGGAGGAGCTGGGCAGAGCTGGGGGAATGGGCTTGGGCAAGAGGGTGGGCCCTCAACCCTCCGGACTCAGTGACCATCCAGGATGGGCTGTGGGGAGAGGCTGGATTGTGACAGGGAGGTGGGGAACTCTCTTCCCTGCATGTCACTCTTTCAGGTATCTGGAGCAACCTCTACGCAGCCAACCTCCAGGACAGCTTATACTGGGCCTCAGACCCCAGCCAATTCTGGGACCGCTGGGCGCAGAATCAGGCCAGCCTGGGTAGGTGCTCACCCTCTTTCATGAAGGTGTATTTGGAGGATGGTGAAGGTGGCTCTCAGGCCTTCGTGGATCTCAACTGTCCCCCCTCCAAGGTTACCACAAAGGTTAAGATAAAGTCCAGGGACCCTGTTTCCTGGAGAATATTCCATTTTCCCCACACTCTTGGTGCAGACAAGGAACAGGTCCCACTGCTGAAGATAGAAGAACCACCCACAACAGCCGGCAGGATAGCTGAGTTTTTCACTGACCTTCTGACAAGGCGCCCACTTGCCCAGGCCTCCCACAATTTCCTGCGTGGCCTCCATTTCCACAAAGATTATTTCCAGCATCCTCACTTCTCCACCTGGAAAGGTATCTGCTTCTCTCCAGAGTCTTCCTGTGGTCACCTGGGCCTTGAACCTCCCACCCCTGGTCCTTGGCACCACACCCTTTGATCTCAGTTCCCTGAACTGTTTGGAGCAGGAGCTTCTTTTGTCTCTCTTATGTTGGAGACACAGGGCCTACTCTCGGGGCTGTGGGGTGGTGGGGGTGCTACTTGGCAGGAGAGCAGGGGACAGAGGGCAGTTTCTCCTCCCACCAGCAGCAAGAATCACCATTAGCCTGGAGGAGAGTCTGAGGCCCTTGGTATCCACAATACTTGCTGTTCCTCCTACCCTATCCCCCCACCAACCTTTTCTAGCCACCAAACTGGATGGGCTCCCCAACCAGCTAACACCTATGGAGCCTCACCTTTGCCTGCTGGATGTCGGCTACCTTGTCAACACCAGCTGCCCACCCCTCCTGCAGCCCACTCGGAACGTGGACCTCATCCTGTCACTGGACTACAATCTCAACGGAGCTTTTCAGGTTGGGGAGGGGTGGGTGGGACCTCCTGCAGGACTTATGGGACCTGGGATGTTGGGACAGACATGGGAAGCGGTGTGTGACCGTGGCCCAGCTTCCTTTAGGAGCTGTGACATTGATATCATGTGAATGAATGCTGGGTTCTGTAAAATTCACCACCAGGGGGAACTTATTCTGCACAGGAAGCTAGAGCGATAGGAGGCTGGTGATATTTTCCTAAGTATTTTGTATTTGGATACCCTTTGCCGTACCCATAACCCTATAAAGTCCTGCACTTCAGGGACCCACCTGTGAGTTTCTATGTTGCTCCAGTGAGAGGTTTTGCCCCACAATTTCACACCTGGAGAGTTGTTGGCAGCCCTGCTCAATTGAGCCCCAGAGGAGCTGCATGGGAGGGACTGTCAGGTTTAGAGCATTCATGGTCTGGCCTTAGGGTCTTTGGCTTGGCATTCAAGCCCTAAGTCCTTTTGTCTTCGTGAAGCTTCATGTTCAGTCACCCCAATGTTGAGGACACTAAGGGCCCATGACTTATCCCTCTGATGCCACTTCTGCCCATCCTGCAGCAACTGCAGCTTTTGGGTCGGCTTTGCCAGGAGCAGGGAATCCCGTTTCCACCCATCTCACCCAGCCCGGAAGAGCAGCAGCAGCCACAGGAGTGCCATGCTTTCTCTGACCCCTCCTGCCCTGAAGCCCCCTTGGTTCTGCACTTCCCCCTGGTCAATGACTCCTTCCGGGAACACACAGCCCCTGGTGAGCCACTATCCACCTCCCTATCCTGGTACCCTGGCCTGTGGCTCCTCTCCTGCCCTTTATGCCTTTCCATAGGTGGACCCCACCCCATGCTGAGGCTGTGCTCTCTCCACAGGGGTCCGGCGGACACCCGAGGAGACAGCAGCTGGGGAGGTGAACCTGTCTTCATCTGACTCCCCCTACCACTACACAAAGGTGACCTACAGCCAGGAAGACATGGACAAACTGTTGTGCCTGACACATTACAACATCTGCAACAACCAGGAGCAGCTGCTGGAGGCCTTGCGCCAGGCTGTGCAGCGGAGGCAGCAGCGCAGGCCCCAGTGATGACCCAGGGGAGGCGCCCACCCGGCCCCTACCATCTTTGCCTCTTTTGGTCTGGTTCCCCATCATCTCCAAGTATTCCAGAGCCTCTGGGGACTTAGGTGGCCCAGTCATGGCACCACTGAGGTATATGCCCAGAACTGCCCAGATGTAGTACTGAAGGCACCAGCAACCCTGTCACAGATTTCAGGCTGAAGGCTGTAGTAGCAGAGGGATTGGACCTCTTCCTCCTTCCAGGGGCTGGAGCTGATTTTCTCTTTGAATTGAAGGACTGGGGACTCAGAGATTCTGTGGCAGTGAAAATAAGGAGGCTAGAGCCCAGAGCAGTGCTGACCTTATTTATATAAGCACTCAGTGACTGGTGACTGTTTTCCCTTCTGTGCTACTCTGTAGTTGTACAAAGTAAAATGAAGTTACACATTACAGAGACTCACAGAAATGGGAGTCACTATCTGAAATTATCTGTCATTCAGATAATGGAGAAGGGGCATGTCATTCCAGGCTTGCTCTTACACATTCCAAGGGCTGGCTTAAAAATCAAAATGACAGAATATCTCCCCAGTTACCCTACAGAGCTAGCTCATCATTGTGGGCTTCCTCCCCAAAGCAGGGCATCTGCTCATGGACACCCTTTCCGAGCAGTCAGGCGGTCGGTTTAGCTTGGGTGTCTCTGCTGCTGTAGCCCTGGCCTTGCCTGCCTATCCTGTTGCAACGCCTGTCCTCTTCACCCAGGCAGGGACCTGGTGGCGAGACCAAAGATTCAGTCAAGGGACTGCTTTCCCACCTGGTAGCAGTAGCCAAACTCCAGACCAGTTGCACCAAAGAGAGCAGTAGCATCCTATAACTTTAGCTGGCTGTGACTCTGGTGGGGCCCTTCTAACAAAGAACTGTTGGTTCCACAAGCGGATCCATGGAGGCCTGGATCTGAGCATACAGGAAAAAACCCTTGTGCCTATAGCTGAGCCTCATTTTGGTCCCCTAGAGGTGTCCTTGCTTGTAGCTGTCTTGGGGTTCTCATCAAGGCCCAGATCTATTGGGAAAACAGGGAAGCAGAGTAAATTCAGGGCCTGGCCACCCTGGAATATTCTCCAAACATTGGTGCCCCAGCCCTCTAGTTTCGCCTGGAACAACCCACCTCCTAGAACACACGTGAGGAAAAGGCAGCTGCAGGAGCAGCCACAATTGTGTGGGGTTGATTTCTACACTTGATCTTAGCCAAAAGGCTGAGAAGCAATTATGGGGGTGATTTCTATAATGTATCTTATGACGTCTGTCAGGCCTGGCCTAGCAACTCTCAGGCCCTGCCTTGGGCACATGGCCACAGACACCCAAGTGGCTGTCCTGGTAGCCTCAGAATGCAGTGTGTCCAGGTCAAGGCCTGTCTCTTGAGCAACATATCTGAATCGTGAACTGGAGCCCGTGGGCCCCGGGGAGTGGGAGCGGATGATTGTGCCAAGGCTGTAGTCATGGCCTCAGCCTGTTAGGGTGTGAGAGCTTTCAAGGTACATGGCTGTGTGAGATGGCGGGGCGAAGCCCAGGCACAAGGGAAGTGCCCATACCTGCCTGTCTCCAGTCCCTCCCTACTTCCATCTAACCCAAAGTGTCCCCTCTTCTGGAGAGCCCGAAGTCTGCTGGCTTGGAGGTGGGAGAGATATGGATGAGGAAGTTGAATAGCTGAACACCACCAAAATCTACAAGAAGAGGCTTAGGACCCAAACAAGAGCCATTTGCTCCTATAGCTCTTCCTTTGCATGTCCTCATCCCTGATCTGTGATCCCGTGGGTGTACTGAACCTGGGCCCTCTCTATCCCCTTGGAGTGGGGCTGGGGAAAGCCAGAGGAGACAGAGAAGGGTATGAGCAGGGGTGGAGTAGGGGTCTGGCTACCCTGCAAATGCATGCTCTGTCTTGGAGAGGGAAGAGGAGAAACGAGGCTGAGAATTAAGGCGTGCACAGGCCTGGGCAGATAAATCCATGCAAGCCTTCCAGCAATGTGCAGAGGAAACCTGGATGCCCCTTACCACAGGGCTGGCCAGAACAGGAAAGGCTCTGGGAGCCTTGTGCAGCTCCATCTGCAGGGCCCATCATCTTCAGGGTCTCCCCCAGTGCAAGGGGTGTGGACTGATCCCTGTGGAAGGGACAGCAGTTGGGTCTGTGAGGAAAGAAGCCTTGGGACTTGGACTCCATTGTGACAGCAGAGTGGGGGTGTTAGGGCTTTCCATTTCCCAGGGGTGCTCAAGTGTTGGGGTTTCCCCACACCCCAGCAAAGTAGGTCTTAGCGCAGGACCTCTGGCTTACGAGGGTAGCGCTTGTGCCAGTCATTCAAACTCAGGCCCTTGCACAGTGTGTCCTACCTGAGCAGGGCAGCTGTGCTTTGCACCTTCTCAGCAGCGCCCTCAACTGGAGAGTCAACAGGATTGGCTTTGAATTCTGGGCTCAGATTCTGGCCTGCACAGCAAGGAAGAACTATCAGCCCCAGCCCAATCCCATTTCCTTCATGCTCCTTTCTCCTGCTTCTGGAGGCTCAGCATGGCTCTGGGGATCTGTCCCTACCACACCCGTCCCATGTGGAGGGTGACACAGGCTGAGCGTTCATGCTGGGTTTTCCTCTGTGCACCCTGCCTTCTAGAAGACTCAGTGTAGACAAGCTAAGAAAGACAGCCTGGAGGAGGTGGGGGATTCTGAGATGCTGGGAAGACTCAAGATCCCTTTGGGCTTCTGGAAAGATGGAGTCTTGAGGGAGAGTCCAGGGGAAACAAAGACAGTGAGGAGTGGAGCTATGATCTCAAGAGACTAGAAGGCTCCCAGCAGCCCCCAGGACATTCTTGAACACACTATCCCCACACGGGGTCTTGGCAGACCACAAGGATGAAGAGAGGCAGTGGTCTGGGGGTGTGTTACCATGTGTCTCTCCTGGTATAGAGCCTGGCTTGGGCCCTGTCTGCAAAACAGCGCAAGAGGTAGCAGAGTTGTTGAGGATTAGACAGTTAGCAAGCCCCTCCCACCCCCAGATCAGATGACAGAGCCTACAAAGCCCTTGGAGGAGCATCCACGAGGATCCCGACAAGAAGGGCGGGCGTAGAGTGGGACACTCCACAGGGCAGAACAGGACCAGGATTAGGGTGGAGCGGGGGAAATCAAGACTATCCCTACTTCTGTTGCTAATTAGCTATATGATCTCTGGAAAGTTGTTTAAGTTCTCTGGGCTTTAAATTTTTTTGAGAAAAGATAGTAGGTCCCATTTACTTCTCAGGGTTTAGAGATACTAAGTGTGCGAGTTCCCAGGGATGCATAAAAGACCAGTGGTCCAGGAAATCAGCACCCCCCCAACCCCAACCAGTCCCTTCCCTGCAGCTCACCTGCCACGCTGCTCACAGCTCGCTGCCTGCTTTCAGCCTGCTCTTCAGATGGTGCTGCAAACAGGATCTCTGCCCTGCCGCTCAGCCTGGCACCCAGACAGCCATGGGTCAAACTCTCTACCTCCTCTTTAGAGAACCCTGCCTCCCCCCTCAGCCATACTGGGAGGCCAAGTCTGCTGGAGGCAGTCTCTTCCCTCACCTGGAGGAGAAAGAGTGTTTTCTGCCATGGTAGTCCCTCAGCCTCTCACACTGGCTTCCTCCCAGAAGGTCAAGGGGGGCTGTGGAAGCTGCTTTCTGAGGGGAAACAAAGTACAGGGGTCACTGTGGTTAGCTCAGCTTTTCATGAAGGGGCCTTTCTGTCCTCTACCCTTTTGCCTTGTCTCCAGCCCCCACTGAAGTCTGCATCTCCCACACGCCCATGCTGCCTGGTACCTCTGCTGCCATCCTCTCATCTAAGAACAGGCTCAGGGAGCCACCCCGCAAGATGCCATGATAGCTGTCCCAGGAGCTCGTGGGGCTGTGACAAGGCAGTGAGGCTATACCAGTCACATGCAACAGATAGGCTAGAGCTAGGCCTTGTCACAGCCTGGACATGTGTCTCCAGAGCCTCCCAGAGAAAGAGCTGGATTGGGCCAAATTCCCCATGGGGAAGAGGAAGCCAGGGAGGGGCTCTGATAGGGAAAGCCAGGCAAGGAGGAAGAACAGGAGTGGGGAGAGGAACCCTAGCCCCTCCGGGTGGGGGCAGAAGCTATGAAGATGCCCCAAGGAGCCAGACTGTCCTGAGAGAATTGAGGAGTTTTCCCAAGTCCCTGGTGCCAGGGTGCCAGGCCCAGATTGCCCCTCTGAACCCCTCAAGTGGATTTGCATGAGGGGCTACTTGGAGAGGGGGGCTCCTGGCACTTATCTGCCTTCCCACTGATAGGAGCTGTTGCTTAAGCTCTAAAGACTCCTCCACGATGGGGACATCCTTTGCATCCTAGAACCATGATATGTCAGGACCAGCACAGAGGATGGCCCCCTTTGGGAAGGTGGGCAAGGCACTCTCTCCTCCCTGACTCTTTACTCCTAATGTCCCACACTGCCCCAGTCCCACTGACTCCTGCCATTGGAGCTGCATGCTCCAGATGGATGGTGGCCAAGGGTGTGTATAATCTGATGGGGACACCTGGCTGCAGGTCCCTCATCTTAGCCAGCTATGCTCCTGTCTCCCACCTCCATGTCCCAAGAGCCTCCACTGAAAGGCCACCAGCTGGCTGTCAACTCCCCAGGTTTCCACCCCTGTGTCTCCTATAGCAGCTGCTGTTCCATCTTGGGGAGGAGGCAAGGTGAGCCAGGTCAGGGTCAGTCTGGCCATCGGCTCTGCCCCAGTGTCTCCTCCCCAAATCCTTACACTCAGAGAGAGCGCTTGTCTTGGGAGCAGTAGTCAGCTCTCTCTTTCAGCTCAGGAGACTTCCCTCTTGTCCCAAGCTGCAGTGGTTCCCTGTCCCACCACTGTAGCTGGCTAGAATGGGTTGGGGGCCTGGACTTGCAGACTGAGAGGCTCTGTTCCCACCCACCAGCCCTCAGCTCCTCTCTGCTCCTGCCACTGCACACTCCAGGTGGACAGTGACCAAGGGTGTGCGTAGTCTGATGGGGATACCTACAGGTCCCTCTAGACAGCTGTGCCCCTGCCTACCCTCCTCCCCAGCATCCCATACCTCTGTCTTCTGTAGTTGGGCAAACTTTTCTTCCTGGGCAGCCAGCAGCTTCTCTAAGTCCTGGTGTCTGCGGAGCAGCAATTCCACATCCGTCACTGATGTCTGGGGAGAAGCAAGTCAGGGTGAGGCCCAGCTTTGAGGGAGCAGAGAGCCTTCACTCACCCTCTATAACCCAGCCTGGGGCCAATGAGTGGAGGAGCAGTGTGCTGTGCCCTGAGCCATAGCTGCCTGATGGTGGCCAGTGAAGGGGCTGGCCCCCACTCACCCCACAGCTGGGATCCAGGAGGATGGTTTCTCGGGAGGCCAGCCAGGCCTCAGCCTGCGTCAGCCCCCGCCACAGCAGCTGCAGGCTCTGACTTTCCTTGCGGTGTTGCTGGTGCAGAGCCCAGGCCTTCTCTAACTCCTGAAGCTGCCCTTCCAGCTCCTGTAGACACTCAGTCACCTGGCAGGGAGGTGCTGTTGGTGAGAGCTTGGGCAGAGCAGGCCTGGAAAGCCCCATGGAGGCACAGAGGGAAGGCCACGAGACCCAGGACTCCCCCTTAGCCTCTCTGTGCCCTGGTTCAGCCTTCATGTCCTAGTGGTTGCCACAACTTCCAGGGTTTCTGAGGCTCAGGCAACTGGGCTCCATCCTCAGTTCAACCCCAGCTCTATCCGCAGTGCTCACACCTCTTGGGACATGAAGTGGCCGTTGTCCACCAGCTGCTGCCCTTCCCGTAGCATGTCCTGGGCTTGTAGGCAGTGCTCCATGATTACTCGCCCTAGCTCTTCATGCTGCCCCAGGAGCTGCCCAGCCCCTGCCAAGTTCCTAGCCACCTCCTCAGAAGATGCCAGCACCTGCCTCTCCTGAGCCCATGCTCTGCAGGGCAGGGAAAAGAATTACTGTCAGCACTGCAAGGCAGGCTGGGGAGTGAGGGCAGGGCTGAATGGAGCCAGCACCAGGGCAGGACACTTACAGCAACTCCCGACAGCGCCCAAGGAAGGCATGGCCCTGCATGGCCTGTGCCAGCCACTGGGCCCGCTCCCGGGCCTTCACCTCTAGGGTGGCCCAGGCCTCCTCCACCTTGGCCAGCTGCTCTGCCAGGGCCCCCTGAGCCATGGGCTGTCGCTGCCCCAGGCAGCAGGCTTCCATCTGCACCTGTGCCACTTCTTTTGCCATAATTGCCAGTTCCCTCTGCAGTGAGAATATGGTATCAGGCCTCTGTCTCCCCACTGGTCTGATGCATGCACCCCACCCAGGAGCTACAGGGGGCGGGGAGGGAGAAGCGACTGCCACTCTGCTCTATAACCTTGGCCAAGTCCTGGGCCCCCAGGGGAGGGGTCTGGATTTCCAGGGAGGAAGCTCAGATAGCAGTCACTGGGGTCAGGGCCCTCACCTATCTCCTCAGAGCTGGGTTGAGACAAACATTTCCCTCTGCCTACCACCTTTGGGAGGGATTCAGGGTGTGGTCTCTCACCTCTAGACGCCTGTGTTGTTGCTGCAGGTTCTGCACACATGACAGGCTATGGCCTTGGTCATCTCCCTCCATCAGGGCCATTTTCTCCTGTACCCAGCACTGGAGTTCTGCTACCACCTGCTGAAAGCTGTGGACCTGGTGGGCTGTAGCCAGATTCTGGGAAAGGAGGAAGGACCAGAGATCCCCCCTGGAGACATGGCCTCCAGGTCTCCTTTTGAACAAGGAGGACCATGGGACTTGGTGACTTATTTACCATCCCCAGGTATAGAAAACATGTTAGATGTGGCTGCTGCTTAATGAACATGTGTGCTGTTACAGTGGATGTGGCAGGGCCCAGGGGCACTGGGCAAGGAGAGGGGGCTTCAGGGCACATCTCCTGAGAAAGCAGGCATGAGGTCCTGAAGCATGTGGGAAAAGGCTGGTTCTCAGGGTCTCTCTGGGCCCAGGCAGCCCCACCTGTAGCAATTCTGATGGGCTAGGGAAGAAAGGGTCAGCTCAGGAGGCGACCCGGCCCTATAGAGACACCCCCGGGCTGCTGGCCCTGTGGGAAGCTGGGCTGCTCTGATCAAAGCCACCAGCTGTGGCTGAGAACTAAGGTCCTGGAAGAAGGTTGAGTGGGTTGAGAGAGAAGGGCAGGATCTGATCATCACATGATGGTGAGGTTAACCACATGTGTGCGCTTAACAAGATGTAATGTGATGTGACAGCACGGTGTACCAAGTGCAATGTTAAAACAAAAGCCATGAGTCTTTTAAGCCCAGTGTGTAAAGATACACTCTGAGTTACATCTCGAAGGCACAACTGGGAAAGAAAAAACAAACAGAAAATAAACCCTGGCTCGGCACCTGTGGCTCAAGCGGCTAAGGCACCAGCCACATACACCTAAGGTGGTGGGTTCGAATCCAGCCTGGGCCCACCAAACTACAGTGATGGCTGCAACAAAAACAACAACAACAAAAGAGCTAGGCGTTGTGGCAGGTGCCTGTGGTCCCAGCTACTTGGGAGGCTGAGGCAGTAGACTTGCTTGGGCCCAGGAGTTGGAGGTTGCTGTGATGCCACCGCACTCTACCCAGGGGGATAGCTTGAGGCTCTGTCTCAAAAAAAAAACCCTTTATGACTAGAATGGAGCTAGGGGAAAAGGGGGTTTTTGGAAAGATGGTGGGGATGGGATTGGGGCTGAGTAGACCAGACAAAAGGTGTCCACAGCAGTGACGCAGAGTAAGTGGCAGACCAGGTCTTCTGACTACAACCTCACTAGCACAGGCTGACGAGTGAACACTTCCCAGCCAAAGGCAGGCCCTATGCCTGCCAGGCCAGTCGGAGAGTGCATTGTCAGATGTGAGGCCAGGGTAAGCTTTGAGTCTCTGGAAAGTGGGTGATGAGCCACTTGAAAGCAAACCATTAAAGGAAAACTACTTATACCTACATCTTCTGCCTGTGTTTCCTTGTTCATATCGAGAGGATTTAAGGGATGAAGATTTAAATAAGTATTTTTTGGATTTAAAAAAAAAGAAGAGACCAATCCAACTATGTGTGTTTTTTGTTAGACCTGAAGCCTGCACTTAGGGATTCAAAAGGCAATAAGCACAACCGCTTCACCCCTTGGGTGCCTTGGGCTACCCCAGCCTGTGAGCACCCACCTCTGCGCGGGCCTTTATTGCCTTGCCTAGCCTCTCCCACATGGCCTCAACGTGGCTCCTTTGGGCTTGAATATGAGAACAGCACCCAGGTGCTTCCCGTTCCAGGGTGTCCGCCAGCTCCCTCAGGGCCTGCACTTTGGCCTGCCCAAGGCTCTGGGCTTCTTTTCTGAAAGCCTCAAACTTTTCTTCCAGGACCTGCAAGAGTGGGAGGCCAGACAAGGTCACTCTGGAGGTGGTGTCCAGAGCTCTCAAAGTTCATAAAATGCTTGGCAGGATCTGTTGGCTCTGATTTCCTTTAGCTCTGGTTCTAGAACCACAGGGACCCCATAGACACACCCCCTCCAACTTTCTTTCTGCTCAAGCAGTGACTCACCTTGACGCCCTCCAGGTCCTGCCCGTAGTCTTGGGACTCAGCGGTGGCCACCCTGGTGGTCAGCCAGGCTTCCAGGAGGAAGCTCTCCCGCTGCAGCTGGTGCAGCTGCAGCTGCTCCCGCAGGCCTCGCCCCCTGTCCTTCGCACCCTGCAAGAGCTCCCTGTGGGCCTTTCTCACCGCCTGTAGCTGGGCTAGCACCTCAGGGCTGCAACAGGAAAGAGACAGCCTGCACCAGAGCCCCTCTACACTGGACAGCCGCCTCAGTGGGGCACGTCCCTCTGCTCTTCCCAGATGGCAGATGACATGGCTCTGGCCCACCTTTCTGGGTTCTGCTTGCTCTCTAGGAGTGTTGCCGTCTGTTGCAGCTGCTCGATCCGTAGGCTGAACCCCTCCAGGTCTCTCCTGGTGGCCTCTAGCCGCCGCAGAAGGGCTTGTGTAGCCTCAGCAGTGTGGCCCATGTCCTCACTGTCCAGGACAGAGCCCCGTTCGGCCAGCCAGGATCTTGCCTCTAGGAGCTGGAGCAACATAGCAGAGATCAGGGCAATTGACCTCTGGAGTGAGAGCAGTGGTTCCCACCAGGCTCAGAGCAACCAGTGCCCGCACCCCAGCCCTAGGGCTTCTCATTCAGTTTGGAATGCAGCCTGACAGCCAGTGTCAGCAGCCTGAGCACCAGTGTTCAGAAAGGTTCCAGGTGATGTTTTTCCCACACAAAATGAAGACACTTTATTCCTGGTTTGTGGGCATAGATTTTGTTTTTGTCACTTAATATAATCACACTTTTACAAATATTCTTTGTAATGAGTTTGTTCCTCTCATTTCTTAGTTTATTTACTTCAGTTTCTGTTTTTTTATTATCTGCTGTTGTGAGGTCATTTAGGTATGATCACAAGGTGATTCTTGTGGCGAACATGGGCTGAGAACCACTGGTTAGAAGTAGCAGTGGAATAAGACAAACAAGCCAGGGGCCTGTTTTCTGGGAAATGTGCAGAAGGAAGCCCTTGGAGGCAGGTAGCCCCCTGGTGGAGGAGACAGGAAACACAAAGGGCCCAGCCCTGTGGGAGCTGTCCCCAGCCCACCTTGGCCTTCTGTGCTCCGTGCCACCCCTCACCTCCAGGAGACACTGCTGGGCCTCCTGAGCCTGTTGCAGCCGCAGCCTCCTCCATGCTGCTGCCGCCTGCAGGCGCTCCATGGCTTTCTCCAGCTGCTGCACCCGGGCAGCCACCTCTTGGGTGGCAAAGTGTCCAGCTCGCACCAACTTGTGCCCTGTGCCCACCACTGCCCGGATCAGAGCCTCGTGGCCACTCATCTCACTCTCCAAGTTCTGTGGAGTAGGGGGAAGGAGGACGGGGATGCTACTGGGCAAGCAGGGGTTCCCAGGATTGTGCCTGAAGCCTCAGGGGACCTATTCCCATGATCCCTAAAGAACCCAAGGTTCCCCCAAAGCCAGAGAGTCTTGCTCCCAAGAAATTCCCTGTCCCCATGACTCCCAAAGAACCCAGGGTTCCCCCAAATCCATTGTCTTAGCCAGGCTATAGTGTCATTTATTGGCTGAGGAGCATTGCTTGCTTCCAGGGGCTGACCTCATCCCCTCCCAGGGTGGGCCCACACCTGGTGCTTCTCCTGCAGCTGCTGGACAGCACTCAGACTCTGGCCACAGTCCTGGGAGGTGGCCAGGGGCAGCTTCTCCTGCACCCAGGCCATCTCCTCATCTGCGTCCCTGAAGAACTGCAAGAGGAGGCTCCGGGCCTCCAGGGCTGTCCTACGCTCCTGCAGCAGCTCCCGCAGGCTCAGGAACCTGCAGTGGAGGGGGCCGAGGGAAGCAGGGCACACATTTGTCAGCATTAGGACTAGACAGTGACAGAGCTTGCCCATGCTGTGCCCTGCATGGTGGGTAAGGGAAGAGGTGAGAAGAGCTAGGGGACAGGGAATAGAGGGTAAGGAGGGTGCAAACAGAAGCTGGGCACAGACAGGTCTACCTCCGCTGCAGCCGCCGGGCCTGCTCATCTGAGTCTTGGGTGAGGCAGTGGCCTTCCTGTACCAAGGCCTGTGCCCGCCTGGCCTGCCTGTCCACTGCTGCCTCCAGCTCCCCCTGCGCTTCCAGGAGCTCATCCATCTCAGGCAGGGCCTGGTCTCTGACAGGGACTCTCAGCTCGACCTCCACAGGCTCCAGCCAGCTCTCCATTTCCTCCAAGCCCCTCCGCAGATACAGTGCCTGGGGCAGAAAGTGAGGTGGGCACCAACAGGGAGGCCTGGAACCCCATCCAGCTACCCTGGGCCTACACAGCCTCACCTTGCAGGCCTCCTGCAGCTTGGCCGCCTTCCTCTGGCAATTGGCCTGCAGCTCACCCCAGATCCCTCTCAGCTCCTGCAGCCGCTCCTGGATGGTCTCTGAAGCTGGGTGGCCCCACTGCAGCAGCCTCTGCCCCTCCTGCAGCCATGACATAGCCCATCCCTTATGCCCTCAGGACTGCAGGGCACCCATGTTGACTGTGACCACCAGCACCACAGCTGCAGTTTCTTTGTGTTAGCTGTGTGATCTTGGGCAAGTTTCTCAATCTCTCTGAACCTCATTTTCCTCATCCATATAATAGAGATAAGACTGATTTTTTTGTTTAAATGAGATAAGCAGTATGAAGTACTTAGCAGGGCACTTTACATCAGGGGAGCCAGCCAGGGGTTAGGACATGCCTTCACAGGTGGAAAAGGGAATGCTAAGAAATACTGTTTTCACTCCTTCGCCCACAGGACTGCTGGCTGTGCCCCAGTTGCATCAAAGTATTATCTTTAAAATTATTGGAAATGAGCCACGTGTAGAGAGGGTAACCTGGGGAGCAATGGCTTCTCACTACACCTGCAGTGCTTAGCACGGTGTCTGCACCCACAAAGCACTCAGTAAACATCGCCACCTGTTACTGTGGCTCAGACACAGCTGCTGGGGCTCTGTGGAGTCATCCCATCCATGCTCTGGCCTGCAAGGCACCCTGTGGCCCTCTAGCCCCACAGCCCTCACCATATGGAGCTCCTGTTGCTGGTGCACGCTCGCATCCAGCTCCACCTGGAAACTCTGCTGCTTCCGCAACTGCGCCTGCAGCATGGCTGGGTCCTGCCAACCCTCTTCCAAGGCCACCAGGTTCTTCTCCCTCAGCCACATGGCCACCTGAGCATATGGGGAAGACCAAGCTCTGCTGCCTAAAGCTCTCCCTTCCCCCTGCCCCTTGGGGTGCCCCAGAGGGAGGTGGCCTTTCCCTGGAGCACCTTCTTCCCTCTAACATAGCCACTCCCCATCCCAAGCAAGAATAACCTCAGTGGCATCCCGCAGGAAATTCTGCAGCTGCTGCAGCTCCTCCAGCTGGCGGCGGTGGGTGCTGGCCTGCCCCAGGAACGCCTCTTTCCTACAGGAAGGAGAGTCTCGTGGGTTCTCAGGTCTGCTCACAGGACTTGGAGCTGCTGCAGGGGCACGTGGGTTCCTTGGCCCTTCTGGCCTAGGACAGTTTTCCTTCCTTATCAATACCCTCTGAGTCTGGGGTTTCTTTTGAAATAAAGACACATTGTATTTCCCCTCTTTATTGTTATCTGTTGGGGCTGAATTGTGTCCCCCCAAGTTCTTATGTTAAAGTCTTAATCCTGGCACTTCAGAATGTCAGTGTTTGGAGACAGGGTCTTTAAAGAGGTGATTATGTTAACATGAGGTTGTAGGGGCAGGCCCTACTTCAATATGGCAGGGAGGAGAGGGGGTTAGGACACGGATGTAGCCCAGAGGGAAGACTGAGTACAGATGGAGGGTGAAGGCAGCCATCCGTGAGGCAGAGAGAAGCCTCCAGAAGAAGCCAACCTATGAACACCTTGATCTTGGACTTCCAGTCCCCAGGATTGTGAGGAAAAAAACATCTGTTGTTTATACCACTCAGTCTGTGGCATTTTGTGAAAGCAGTCCAAGCAGGCTAAGACAGTGCCTAAGCCACAGTTTTGATCATGCATTGCTATCAGTAAGAATTTAAGGCAAGGTCTTAAATATATAATATCTAACATTTATTTAATATTTAACTAGTATATTTACAATATATTTAATATATTATTAGCCAATTCATATATGTACTTTTGTACCAGCTTATTAAATGTATTGCCATATACACAGAAATAGAAATGAGATCCATAAACTAAATAGGAAAAGAAGCTCTGATTTGCCTTGCCCCAGGTCCATGCACACCTTCCTACCAGCATGTGAGCGTGAGCCTTGCTGCCAAATGGTATGGCAGATAGAGGTGCAGAGAGACTCAGCTGAACAGAAACACCCCGCTAGAGGATGGCAGAACCCCAGAAGGGGAGAGGGTTGGTGTGGTGCTGTGCTGAGGCAGTTGGGCCTGCCAGGACCCACCTAAGGTGACTGGGGGGAGTGACAGAGACCAGCAAACCTTTGTTCACCATCTGTCAATCTGAAGACCTCACACAAGTATCCCAGTAAGGTCCACTTGCAAGAATGGAGAGGGGATGGCCCCAGCCCTGCCAGGATATCAGCAAAAGCAGTCACAAAATCTGTGAGTGCTAGGAGGCTCTCTGGGAAGGATGGAGCTTCCCACCAGTCTGGGCTGTGGCTTTTGGCCATATATGTCTAAAAGTCTGAAGAGGTGGACCAGGATGATGAACCAGATGAGGTTTTACGAGGAAAAGGGCAGAGCCTGGTGTCACTTAGGCTGTGTGGGTCGTGGGCATCTGTGGCTGACTTCAGTTGAACAGGTGTGCAGCCTGTCCACAAGGGGCCAGCGCCATGCTAAGAAATCAGGGCATTCCTGTCCTTAGCCCTAAGCAGAAGCTCTTATGCTCTGCTGCAGGCCCAAGGCCTAGCTCCCGTGAGAGGAATTTGCCACTAGTGGGCAGCAGAGGAACTTGGGACTATGACCCTGGCTGTTTAATGGGTAGTTTCCATTTCCTTTCTTAGTGCCCTAGCATAAGCTGCTTTGTAAAACTCTCCCTTATCTCAGCTGAATGAAGAAGGAGGTAGGATTTTCCATGTGTTGTCTGAGGTCCTTGACAGGCTGACACACCACAGGGCCAGGAGCAGTGGGCACCCCTGTGATCTGACCTCATTCCTTGGTGAAGGCTGGTGAACCTAGACCTAGTAGTGGAAGGGCAGGAAGGGAACAGCAGAGATGCCAGATGCCTATGCCAGCCCACCCACAGTTCCCATCACTTCAGAGCCAGAGGTACCTGAGGAGCATGGCTTGGAATCTTCCCAGGGCATGTGGGGCCTCAGGGTGTCCACATTGGTGTAAGCTGTGGGCTTTGGCCTCTAGGATGCTGATCTGTTCCACCTGTGCCTCCAGGTCCTGCTCAAGCATCTTGTGCTTCCAAAGTAGGGTCTCCACATTGGCTGAGGGGTCCTGGTGGGAGCGGAGAACTCGGCACTTTCTGTGGGGCTGCCCCTCCCCAGTCTAAGCTATCTGCTGCTTTCCCTCCTAGAGCCTTCCTACTAAACACTCATCCTAAAGCCAAATGCATCTCTAGAATCCCTCAAGGCTGTTTCTGGCTTTACAGTAGTGATTCTCAAGCAGGGGAAGTACTGGGGAGAAGGGTCAAATGTCAGAGGGCAGGCTAAGCTCTTCCATGTAACATGAGTGCTCTTGACTCTGTACCCCCAATAAGACTATTTTAGCCCTAATCAAACTCTCAGGTCTCCCACAAGTTACTTATCTGCCACAGGGCTGGAATGGTGGTGGGAGCAGTGGACCGCTGGGTATGTGGGAAGTGAGGAGAGCAGGGGTGAGAAGGGACAAGAGTGGCCAGAGCCTCACAGTTACTCTGAGTCCCATGGCATTCCCCATGGGCCTGCCCCTAAATACATGAAAACTGCTCAAAGATCCATGCGGCCAAAGGTAGGGGAGATGCCACACAGGGGAGAAGCCCTGGCTGGGGAGCTCAGTTAGCACTGATGGATCCTATCCCAGATGCTGTTCTTGTAAATCCTCCCCTCTCCTGATGGGCACCTACCCCCAGACCCTTGCTGGCCAGGGAGGCTTCCTTGCTGCGTAGCCAACGTTCCATCTCCTCCACAGAGTTCAGAAACAGCTGGAGAGAAAGGCAAAGGCAAGAGAAAGTTGGCAGATGGTCCAGGCCCTGCAAGTGGAAGGACTCACTCTGTGGCCCAGATTGGGGAACAAGGACCCGGGGACCTGGTTCCATGGAATGGGTCCACAGGAGCCCCACTGGCCTTAACCTTGACAGGTGGGTGGGATGGAGGCTGGGGTGGGACTGTGCCTGCCTGTAGCTCCAGGGCCTGCTGCAGCTGCTGCTGATGCTCCTGCCAGGCCCCCTGCAGGCTGCTCTGCTCCTGTTCTAGACTAGCCAGGGCCTGGCGAATGTCAGGAGTGGGCAGGCTACCAGCTACCAGCAGGTGCTGCCCAGTGCTTTGGGCCAGGCTGACGCTGTCTGTCCAGGAGTCCAGCTCAGCCTGGAACAAGGCTGGGCTCAGATCCCCAGAGGGGATAGATGTTAGAGGAGAAAGGCTGGGCAAGGGGCCCAGAAAGGGTCTGAGAGCAAGTGGGGAGCAAAGGAGGGAGGGGCATGAGGCGGCAAAGTCTCCGGGTCCCCAGCCTTACCTTGTGCTCCTGGTGCTCCTCTAACATGTGTTGTGCTTCTGCAGGACTGCAGGGAGTGCCACGCGTGTCCATCTCGGCCTGTAGCCTGCGGGCCTGGAGCAGCAATTCCTGCAGTGTTGCCTGGAGTTTCTGAGCTCGGTACGAGGCATTCAGCGACTCCCTCCTGCCACAGGGCTCATCAGCTAGTCCCAGGGCCACAAACCCCTTTCTCCCAGGCCCATCAGTATCTCCTGTCCCCTAATTTCCACAGCTATGTAAGGACCCAGGGGGTGGGAATTAATGGGGTCCAGCTATGTGAAGGAAGAAAGCAGCAGCTTAACGAAAACAGGCCAAAGGGAAGTATGGGGCTGAGATGCCGAGGGCACAGGTCAGCGTGGGAGCAAGGCCGGGGCTCCATACCACTTCTGCATCCCACTCTGGAGTTGCCTCCAGCTGTCCATCATCTTCTGCTGTTTGTGACTGAGGCTGTGGGCTGCCCCCAGGCTCCTCTGGCAGAGGCGGCCTACCTCACGCTCCAGGAACTGTGTGGAAACTAGGGTCAGAGGCTGGGGCAGGGAGGCCCTGGCTGCAGGGGGCCTTGGTATGTGTCTCTCAAGGTCCCGAAGGCTCTCCTCCCTGCGTCTGCCCAGGGTCCTGCACAGGAGCCTAGGCCCCCCACCCCCACCCAACTGCGCACCTCCACCCAACTGCGCACCTCCACCTGGGCCTGGGTGGGGCCCAGCTCCTGCTCCAGCAGTTCGTGCCTCCGCAATAGCCTCTGCACGCTCTCTAGGTCCTCCCCACGGTCCAGGGCCTGGGTCAGGGCACCCTGAGAAGTGGAGAGTGGGCCTCTCCTTCAGCTCCTCCCTCATGCAGAAGGCCTGCCCACCCTGGGATCTGTGAGGGGAAAGGGAGTCCCCAGCACTGTCCCCTTCCTGCTGCCCTCGGTGGGGCCCGAGCAGGGCTTTGGCCTTGACTAGAGATAAAAGAGGGTGACTCAGAGACTTTGGGTTTGGAGTTTCCTCGGAGGTAACAGCCTTATCTGTGTGGTGTCTACTCCTTTGACTCCCATCCTTTTAGGAGAACTCAGAAGAAAAAGGAACAAGCGTGGAAGGACAGGGCCTGGGCTGGCGGTCTGAGGGCAGGAGCCCAAGGAAAACAGCTAGGCACTCCGTGAGCCTCACTTAGCACTCCCATAGTGTTCTGACTTCTCCACTTCTGCCTTTGCCAGAACTTAGCCCATGTTTCTCTGTGGCTGCTGACATAATCCCGGGGCAAACCTCCTGTGGGTCTGGAAGGGATGGGAGGAAACAGAAGGTGTGCTCTGGCTTATCTGGGGACCAGGGTCTGGGGGAGAAAGGAACCAGGTGGGTCTGCCTCTGAGCCTGTAACGGATGTGTCTGTGGTTCGGAGTGGATCCCAACCTGTCAGATGCCCTCGGTGGACCTCTGATGAAATCTCCAAGCACACAGCCAAACAGGAAGAGGGGTGGGGCAAGACAGGTGGGAGGCTCTCTGCCTAGACCATTCCTAGGACCCCTTCCTGCTGCTCACCTTCTCCCTGATCTGCTCTGTGACCTCGTCTAGCTCTCGGGACAACGTATGTATCTCCAGAGCCTCTTCCAGCTGCTGCTGGTACCGGAGCAGGTTGCCACGGAAACTCGCCCACCTGGCCAAGGGGGTGGCGTGTAACATGGTGTCTGAGGTGGCTGTCCCCACAACCCTGGCCCCACAGCCTTCCCCAGTCTGGGACTGGCCTGCTGTTGAGCTGGCTTTGCCGCTGGAAGATAGTCTTGACTTCCTCAGGGTCCTGGTTCTTGAGCTGCAGTGACAGGTCATTGATCCTCCTGATGTAGGCATCACATGCCATGTCCTACAGGGGAGGTGCAGGGGAGGGCACTGATACCACCACTCAGAGCACCCTGGGAAGTGCTGGTACTCGGGGCATCTGTCTGTGTGCCCCAGCATGTCTGGGCAGAGGGAGGCAGGTACTTCTCCTGCTGTGGCAGTCCCCAAGATACCCATCCCAGGTACAGTAGCAAGGTGAGCCTGTTGCCTCAGGGTCATCTATAAAGCTAGAAAATGTGCTCCCTGGTTGGGAACCAGGTAGGAAGGGAAGGGTGGGCTTGCTCATTACAAAAGCTTTTAATCTGTGGCTTCTCATGATACGGAGAGCAAAGGGAAGGGTGGGATGACATGGTAAACTCCAGCCTCCTGGGCTTTGTATGTTCTCCCCTGAGGGACACACTGAAGACTCACCTGGGCTGGGGCTAGTGTGGCTTGGACATGGGGTGAGGCTTACAGGCACACAGGGAAGGGACCCTTACAGAGTAGGATTGCAGGCTTCCTGCTCCTGCATTCCTGCATTTATAGAGATTGTTTAAATTTCCAAACACTTTCTCGCCTCCCATATGAGGTAGGAAGTAAAGGGTCTGTCTCTCTCTCTTTTTTTTTTTTTTTGAGACAGAACCTCAAGCTGTTGCCCTGGGTAGTGTGCCGTGGCCTCACAGCTCACAGCAACCTCTATCTCCTGGGCTCTAGCGATTCTCCTGCCTCCACCTCCCAAG